CACCTACAAACAGAAAAAACAAAATCGAACAAAACTTTATGTTCAACTCAACATACTTGTGATGACGCCACACTTCTCGTGTGCTTTCGAAGAAATAAAGGTCATGAAGATTTACTCTACCCATTTTATTTTTGTTTGGTTTGGGGGCCACACCCAGCAGGGCTCAAGGTTTACTCTTGGCTCAACTTTGGCATGACTCCTGGTGGGACTTGGGGGAACACACAGGGGACCAGGTATGGGCCTGGTCTAGCCATGTGCAAGGCAAGTGTCCTACACTATCTCTCCGGCCCCCTCTATCAGTTTTAAAATTTTAGGTCCTACATTTAGCTTAATTTTGAGTTAGTCTTATGTACTGGGTTCAAGAGTTCATGGGGCCATCAAGTGGTCTGAAATGTAGTTTTGAAAATAACTGGTCTTTAACTGTGAATTATCTTGGCTTTAAGACACTTCTAAAATCTCTAAAATTTTCTAAAATTTCAGGTAACTGGGGGGCAAAGTGGTAGTACAGGACGCTCGCCTTGCATGCAGCTGACCCCAGTTCAATTTCCTGTACCACAGATGATCCCCTGAGCACCACCAAGAGTAAGCTCTAAGCACAGAAGGGTAACTGGATTTTCGGGGGAGCAAGTTGGGTCACACTCTAGTGGTGCTCCAGGAACCAAATGCAGTGCCAGGGATCAAACCTTACTGCTTGAAATAAGTGTTCCTCTGTTTCTGTGAACATATTTTTAATCATCGATTTTGTATTTTATAAGCTTGCTAAAGTAATTTATTGGCCCAATTGTTTTTCAGTAGGTTGGATCTGGAAGCCTTTTGTTTTATTTATTTATTTTGTCTGATTGCCATAGCTAGGCCCTTCACTACAAGAGATGAGAACAGAAGAGATGAGGGGGTCTGGGGAGACAGTCCAGGAGTTGAGGGCTTATAATTTCCTTGGTACCTAGCACTGAGCCACTGGTCAGGTTGGGCTGTGTAACTGTTAAGAGCGGCCCTTAGAGCCCCCGTGAAACATTGTCAGCAATCCCTGAGAAAGAAAAGAAGAAAAGAAAGGAAGGAAATTAAAGAAAAAGAAAGAAGAAGGAAGGAAGGAAAGGAGGGAGGGAGGGAGGGAGGGAGGAAGGAAGGAAAGGAAAGAAAAAGGAATAAAGAAGTGATAAAAGTAGTTATCCTTATCTTATTCATGATATAGGGAGAAAAACATACAGTCTTCACTATCAAATGTGTTAACTGTGGAATATTTTTCAGAGTAAGGTAGTTGAAAAAAATGAGAGGAAAAAAGAAATACAAAGAATATGAAAAGTTTTTAAAAAGGAAGTAAAAACATATGGAAAGAGAACAGGAGAGTGGAATGACTAAATTATATAAACAGGAGAAAAGATTAAATGATAGAAATATGAATTTAAAAAAGAACTCTGAAATGAATTAATAAGAAATAGATCCTGCCATTGGTTAGGCATATATGCTTTTGGCAAAATGCAAAAAAAATTCTCTGTGCACTTAGTTTGTCAACAACAACAACAAAAAGTAAGAACATATACCCTATAGACAGAGTTCCTACTGTGTAATTTCTGTGTACATATTTTTATATATTCTGTGTCAGACCTGATGTCAGAGCACTCAAGATCAAAAAAAGATAATTTTTTACACAATATTTACTTTTTGGCATTATATTACTATATTCTATAAAATCAGACAAAGTATTGAAACAGGAAAGGAAATAAGATAGTGATAAGAAGGTAGAAATAAGAAGGCGGAAAGTTAAGGGAAAATATAGATATGGGAATGATAAAGAATAAAGGAACTGGGATGGAAAGATAGTCCAGCGGGCAAGGGACTTTCTTCGCACATGGCTGATCCTGGCTTAATCCCTGGCGCCCCGTCTGGTCCACTGAGCTCTTCTAGGAGTGAGCCCTGAACAAAGAGCAGAACTAAGCTCTGAGCATCACCAGGTGTGGCCCCAAAACAAACAATAAAAAATGAAGACCCTACAGAAAGGAAAGAACAAATCTGGCATGAGTGAAGTAGGAAAGTAACGGAGGAGAAGACTGAGGTAAGAAGCATGAGGATGACAAAGGGAAGGAAGCAGGACTCCAGGAACAGGAGAGCCAACATCCAGCAATGACTCCGGGAGCTGGCCTCTCTGCTGACCTGTCCAACTCTAAGGCAGCTTATCTTTACCTCTGCATTGTTTTTGCGGATTTTAAGAATGCAAATTTTAAAACTGGCTTGGTTTTAAGCAGTGCTGAAGTGTTAACTTGAGGCCAGAGAGCACAACAGCGATCCCACCGCCCCTTCCCACGGCCCGGCCCCTCCCTGCAGTGCGCAGTTGTACTCATCCTATCTCAGGGTTTGTTCCATTAGGGATTGTCTAGTCTCCTTTGTTTCTTTATACTCCATAAATGAGCGAGAAGACTGGGTAGTTGTCATTTACCTTCTGACTCACCTCACTCAGCATAGCACCCTCCACTCCATCCAACCTGCTGCAAACTGTATTTTAGATGAGGCACTAATACATTTTCTAGAAAACTGCTACCAATTTCATAAGTGGGAAGAAATCTTTGATTTCTTGGGGAAATCTTCAACTCCAGACAAATGAATGGTGTTCTTTCCTCTTCAGCATCACCCCAACGGCACCTCTGCTTGAGCTCCCTCCTTTCTTCCACTGGTCTGTGAGGCATGAACAACGAGAGCTGCCTGCAGAGTCGCACAGCTATAAGGCCATCACCACTTCTAGCTGCAGAACATTCTGATCAACCCAAAACAAGCCCCCGTCCTCAGAATTACTTCCTATTTTAACTCTACTGATTTACTTTATGTCTCTATGGATTTGCCTATTTTACACATTTTCTATAAACAGAATCAAAGTATGTGACCTTTCGTGAGAGTACACTGAGATTTTATAGCTACTAAATCCTAGGAATAGAAAAAATGGCTGTAGGACCTTTTGCTTTGCAGATAGTTTTTATTCTAAGTCATTCCCTTTCTGTTTTCTTGTTCTAATGAATTTTCTAGCTCTGCAGCATCTTCTGTGATGGTGATTCTAAGATCTTGAAATAGTTTTAATTAACTCCATTGTAAATTATTTTGATATACAAATAACTTTTGATGGTAAATGTTTATGAAAAAAACTATTAAACTGAATTTGTCATATCTTATAATAATGCCCATCAAACACATAATTACTAACTGGGCCGATGGACCAAAGTCAATGTATAAACCAAAATTTCAAATTCTCTTAGACCTGCAGAGTAGACAGACACACCAGGAAAGTGGTTGGGCAGAAAAGTAATGAAAGAAAGAGTTTAACAGGTACTGGTATTAGTGGATTGTGCAGGAGGGAGTTGTGGAGTCTTCAATTGTGTAGTCTTCAATTAGTTTGTCTAGAGAAACTGACCAAAAGCCTAAAGGAACCCTGTCCTCGAACGCAAACTAATTTTCTGGCAGGTGTGACATACTTCACAGGAAGAGCCAGCCCCAGAAAAGGGCAGGGCAGAAAATGAAGCATCCCACTGACATCCTTTCCGAAGGCTGGGGATGAGGCTCCTTCAATAGGCAACTTTTTCTTTGAACCAAAACCAGTGCCATTTCTAAAGTACAAAAGATAAAATGTATCTAAAAGAATTTCCAAATGCTAAAAATAGAAATATCTCCCCCCAGGAAGAATTCTAATCCTTTTCTTCCACACTGAAGGGGTTTCTCCCCCAATCATGTTGTGGCAGATGTCACAGTAGCTAAAAATTGCAATTGCAAATCCAGTATAAGACTAGACTTAAGAAATTATCTACATCAGCTTCTGTTTCTGTCTTAGCCATCGGTTGATCTGCAAAATATTTCACCTATTCTCTTCACTCCACAAGTGTGAAAATGCCAAGTTAAAAGACTCGAATTGTGATCTTGGCTCTCTCACCATTTGTTTAGACACAATTATTCTTTTGGCTCTAGTTCCCTGGTCCATAAATTAAGAACACTGGATTAGGTCATCCCAAACCTCCTTCAGTTCTGACATTCTAAGACTTTACACAATAAGCTAGCCAAAGCAAAACTTAAAAAATTAACCAATGAGTTCTGTGTTACCAAAAGTCTCATACAAGAAAGGAAACGTGACACACAATTCAAAAGAAAACTAAAACTATCAACTCAAATAAATTCTCAGGTTCCCTCAGAGGAAACGTAGCCGTCCTCTCCAGGCGGTAAATGCATTACATAAATTTGAATCTGTTCGGAGCCATTTACTGGAGAACAGTAGGGATTTATTTTTTTAAAGAGTGAGACTCTGACATCTGAAAGGCAGACCAGCAGGAAGAACAAGACACTTGTTCATCTGTATTTCTGTGACTTTTCTCACTTGGTATTATTTGCAACTGGACTTTTATGTCTGGCAACAGTGTCAACTTCAGTATGCCTGACGGATTATTTTTATCACGTTGATTACATATGTTCACCAGTTCAGTTGTCCATATATGCTTGGTGTGGTTTGCAAGAACTCGGTGACAAAACCCAGAGCATGGCATTTTCACAGAAAGTGTTTACTGTGAAATTTCTCCTTAGAAGTTTGCTTTTCTTTACAGCTTTGATCCACATGGCAGCCACAGCCCTACATTTCAAATAATGGCTTCTAGCTAAATGAAGAAAATGTTCTCAGTGGATCCAGCATGATGACGGTAGGACGCGGTGGTTCGAGAGGGAACTTACTTTTTTTTATGTGATTAGAGATTCGGTCAAATTGAATGTCTGCGGAAATTTTCCAAACTCTGCTTCTTCAGTTTTATGGCGAGTTGGTACTTACTTTCTGTTATTCATCAACACTTCACAGAAATACTTGATTTGTCTGAATGAATTTAAAAACCCACAACTGAAGAAAATCAGAAAAACCTGGTTTTAAATATCAAAAGACCTTGAATGAAAAGTATTTCTACAGGCCACACTCAGTTTTATTGATCAGTGTACTTCTTTTGCAGAATGAAATGGTTGCAAGATAGAACATAAGAAAATAAACTTACTGGTAAATGTCTTTCCTGAGGACAGATCTGCCAAGGGGATTGTCAGCCTGGGGGGCCATGGCAACAGAGCCAATCTTCAGAACCAGGGTGTCCTCTGTTGCTGCCTGATTAACTGCAACAAAAGGAAGAGATTTATGAGTAATGAAAGAAATCTGGGCACAACTGCATACATATTGGAATGATGGAATAGAAACACATCCAGATAAAACAACACATAATACAACAGAAAACATGCCTAAAATAAAACTACTTGATGCTTTTCTATTTCCTTTACATCTCATTTCTCTTATAAACAATTAAATTGGTAATAAACAAGCCTCCACACAAAGCATTAATATATAAGGTACTAAATTTCTAAGCAGTAGTATGAAAGCAGCAGTTAGCTGATTCCATAATTTTATATTATTGCATCTTCTCCCAAATGATTTTAGCCAGTTTTATACACTATATTGTTGTCTATAGATATATCAAAGGCTACGACAAAGTCAGTGATACATTCTCTAAGTCATTTAAATTTATCCAACAACAATTCACTACAAGATACATATACACAAATACACTATTAACACCTCATGCTATAAAATGTCACAAAATCAAAAAGAAATATATTGGTCACAAACTGAATAAAGAAAAAAATCCAAGTCACTGTATAATATGCAAGTACATTTCAAACGATTATTTGGGGCACTTCCGTATTTTAGTAACTTCTAATGTGAAGTTACTCCAGAAATAGCAATTGTATACCTCTGTATATGTTCTACCTCCCAAAGAAGTCTCAAGTTAAGGCGATTAATTACAGATTAACGAAAGTCAAAGAGATGCCAATTCCAATACTTTTACTTATACTGAAATATACTTTACCATTTGTTCTCATAAAGAGCAATGGTTTTTCTGTATGTAACATAAAATACAGATGTCTCTTTTTTGAGGATCCTTTGGGGTGGTCAGGGGTTCTTGATGGCCCTACTTATACTAAACTTTACTCTTTTTTCTCCAGGCACTGATTCGGCTGTCAGTGCTGTTTCAAAATTGTTAACGTAATCAACTTTCTGGGGTTTGAAGAAAACATACACCGGAACTCCTAATTTCTCTCCAGAACTACCATCTGCCCAAATGAAAGAGAAAGGACTGGTTGCAAGCCTTCAGGAGCAGCCTGCACAGAGCAGGCCTGCAAAGGCACACAATCTGTAGTTCCCAAACTGTGGTGCCCAAGGAATGCAAAAGCTCAGAGATTATTTCCAGCTGCTTCAGCTGTATACTTGGTAGGGTCTGCCTTAGATTAGAGCAAAAAAGAAAGTTAGCATCAAGCAAACCAAAGGAGTTAGGAAGAAGATACTCCGCGAGGAAAGCAAGGACCTCAGATAAGACGTACACAAAGAGTGTGGCAAACGGCAGGGAGGCAGGGGTTTGAGGAAGGACAGCTACGAGGGAAACGTAGGTGGGTTACCATAATAAAATCAGTGTGTTGATGCCACTATAAAGGCCGAACTTTCAAGAGTTCGCAGAAAAAAAGATCAAATAAAGAAGGACTTCTGCAGCTGCACGATTTCCAAACGACCAGAGGTCTGGCTTGATTAGAGGTCCTTATACTATGAACACTGCTCACATTTCACAGATCTTGAATTTTATGCCAACCTTATCAAACAGTTCCATGTGGGTGAAACCTCTGATTAAGCAGCAGGCATCAATTAAATCAATAAATAGTAAGTCTGGAGAATAGACCATACCACGAAAGTGCAATTAGTGTACTTGCTAACTGTTCTTGCAGCTACAGATACTACTCGCATATGAAAGTCCAAATGCAGTAGAAGCGCTGCAGCAAATGAGGCCCACGTGGGAGGAAAACGATGCACTTGGTGTTCCACACAAAGCAGAATTCTGTCTCTGCTAGAGCCAAAAGTATTCTCACTAGCTTAGTTTATAAAGATTCATTTTAAGACAATGACAATGCAGATCGTTCACAAACTAAAACAACTGATTTTATTATGGAAAGTATTCAATTTTTGAAAACAGATACTTGCAAAATAAAAACGTAAGGATATGTTCGTAAAAGAAAGTGCCTCGGGTCACTTCTTCAGTTACTTTATAGTTAGAAAGAAGCAAGCTTTCTTCTTTTCTGTTTACTACACCTGCATTTACTAGTTGGACCATATTCCTCCCGAAGCATTTTTAACATGAATATGAGCAACTTCCTTTTTTTAACTGTTTTTTAAAACTGAGACTTGTGAGGAGCTACTCATGCTGTAGACTCATATTAGACCCCAAAGAGTTCTTTTTCTGGAATAAACAGCAAAAGCTAAAAGTCGAAAAATGGAGGCTCAGACTCTTGACAAGAACAGCACACCATGCAAATAATATTCAAGTCAAAAATTGGGTTTTCTTAATACTTTTATAAAATATTAGACAGTTGACTACAATATTAAAATTATTAACTGAATCTTAAACACAAACTATCACAAAGTTTTACAGTTAATAAATACGAAATATACCTAAGCGTGAAATATTTTATTGGGGGAGGGGCAGATAGTGTGTATATGTGGTATAAAAAATAAAGTTCATAAATAATTCTGAACCATTAAAGTTTGTATCTGTAGCAAAAAGCTAAAAGAGCAAGAGCAAAACATTGTTAGATAACACAAGACTATTGCTTGTAGCAATTTTCTTAAACCCATCAGAAAAACAGTTTTTGGAGACTTCAAATTTCCTTTTATTTAATTAATTAATTAATTAATTAATTAATTTGCTTTTTGGGTCACACCTGGCGATGCACAGGAGTTACTCCTGGTTTATGCACTCAGGAATTACTCCTGGTGGTGCTCGGGGGACCCTATGGGATGCTGGGAATCGAACCTAGGTAGGCTGTGTGCAAGGCAAATGCCCTACCTGCTGTGCTATTGCTCCAGTCCCCCAAATTTCCTTTGAGAGCCTCAATATAGGGGACTGGAGCAATAGGATAGCGGGTATAGCATTTGCCCTGCATGAGGCCAATTTGGATTCAATCCCCTGCATCCCATATGGTCCCCTGAGCACTGCCGGGAATAATTCCTGAGTGCAGAGCCAGGAGTAACCCCTGAGCATTGCTGGGAGTGACCCCTCCCCGCCACAAAAAGCAAAACAAAAGTGAGGCTCAACATAAACAATACAGTAAAATCCCTGAAGTCTCAAGAGTATCTGAACTCGCTATTGTGCAATGCTATGCTATCTAAACCTTAACCATAGTGATAGTTTTACACAAAGCTATCAACAAAAGGTTAGTTATAGGCGGAATCTGCAGCTGAAAACAGTACGATAAGTGTAGCCTAGTGACTGATGGGAAATATTGAATCTAGCTTATGAATTCCTCTGATCAATAGGCAAAACAGTTTTTGGCAATAATTATAACATAGTTTCTGCTCTCAACATATTCGCCGGCATCTCCTCTGGAGATGTGCACTTTCTTAGCTTTACCTCTTTGACCTGAGTCTGCTGAAGGTGGGAACTTGCTTTCATTTAGGGTGTGCTTCCCCATGACTGTAGGGGACTTGGCTTTTCTCACTCTGGAGAATCCTGTGGAGAACACGTATCTTTATTGACTTCTCTCCTTTATCTCCCAAAGAAACATGTTCTACTTCAAAAACAAAAGTTTCTGCTCTTGCTCTACATCATTAATCATCAGGGAGATGCAGATCAAAACCACAATGCGATACCATCTCACACCTCAGAGACTGGCCCACATTCAAAAGAACAAAAGCAACTGATGCTGGCGCGGATGTGGCAAGAAAGGGACACTCCTTCACTGTTGGTGGGAATGTCGACTGGTTCAGCCCTTCTGGAAAACAGTATGGACGATTCTCAAAAAATTAGAAATTGAGCTCCCATTTGACCCAGCAATACCACTCCTGGGAATATATCCCAGAGAGGCAAAAAAGCATAGTCGAAGTGACATCTGCACTTGTTTGTTCATTGCCGCACTCTTTACAATAGCCAGAAACTGGAAGAAACCTGAATGCCCAAGAACAGATGACTGGTTAAAGAAACTTTGGTACATCTACACAATGGAGTACTATGGAGCTGTTAGAAAATATGAAGTCATGATATTTACACACAAGTGGTACAACATGGAAAGTATCATGCTAAGCGAAATGAGTCAGAAAGAGAGGGATAGACATAGAAAGATTGCATTCATCTGGGGGGTATAAAGTAACAAAATATGAGATTAATACCCAAGAATAGCTGAGATCAGCACCAGGAGGATTACTCCATAGCTTAGTGGCCAGCCGGGCATTCTAGAGGAAAGGGCAGCTCAGATAGAGAAGGGAGCACCAAATAAAGGGTGTTTGGAGGATCTTCCCAGGAGGGGAGATGCATGTCGAAAGTAGACTATGGACTGAACATGTTTGCCACTCAATGCCTCTTTTGCAGACCACAACACCCAAAAGGAGAGAGAGAACACAGGGGATTGCCCTGCCACAGAGGCAGGGGGGGATGGGGGGATGGGGGTGGGGGGATATTATCCATGGTGGTGGAAAATGGGCACTGGTGGAGGGATGGGTATCTGATCATTGTATAATCAAAACCCAAGCACAAAAAATTGTAAATCTACAACTGTACCTCATGGTGTTTCACTAATTAAAAAAAAAAAGTTTCTGCTCTGATGTATGATGTAGAAACATTTCGCTATATTATCACCCTCGTTAAGGCACAGTTCACCCATATTTTCATTATAGTTGATTTGATAAAAATTTAAGAAAATGTATTTTATAAGATTTTGAGGCACAAAATGAATACTATGTTCTTGACTTATTAGACCTTACTAGAGTGATTTATAAAAGAAACCATTTTTAAAAAATGGAAAAGCTGCTTCAAACACGTTTTCCTTATTTATTTAGTCACATCTTATCTTTTTAGGTATATTAAAGTGACATTCAATCATCCATAACACGTACATTCCAAATCTGCCTATAATTTACACTCATTAAATGGCGAATATTATGTGATTTCACTGAAATAAAAATTCTTTCATGGGAGAATTACAAAATTTGAATTGGAGCAAAATGATGAAAAAGACAGGATCCAAGAAAAATGAAATAAAATTAAACATAAAATGTGAAAATCTTTCAATGCTTTCATGAATTTTTCTATTTGTATTTTATACACAGATCTATGACAACAGGTATAAAAATACATACATGTAGGTAGAGATATGTTCAGAGACAGGTGGAGGACAAACAAAGCTGATAAGTTCGTATGCAATGCAAGGTCCAAGTGACAAAGGTGTAACACATAAACAGACCTGATGAAATGACAGGGAATGGACATGCAACTGCTTAGGAAGAGTGTTCCCGCCTCATCAGGCCTCCTGCTAGGATGTTCAGGGGTGAGAGCGGGGTGGCCACTTGAGGAGCTTAATCAGCATCCTGAACGTCCAGCCTCTGAAAAAGTGTACTGTGACTTCTAAAAACTTTTATTTCGTTTTTTTTTTTTGTACCACCACACCCATCTAGCAGTGCTCAGGGCTCTGAACTATGGGATCACTCCGGAGGGACTCAGGGGACCATATGGGGTGCCGGGGATCTAGCGCAGGTTGGCTGTGTGCAAGGGAAACACCCTACTGGCTGTACGATTACTCTGGCCCCTTCAGAAGTTTAAGATAAATATGTGACTTATTAGCAGTCATGTCTGATTTTTATACCCACCGTATGTATCTGCATACTGGGGTCACAAAAAATTCTCAAAAGAAGAAGGAATATAATGAAAAAAGCCTCCCCGCCAACACACACACCATGATGAATCAGTCTTTTTGTAGGAATTTTTTTTTTGTATTAATGTTTTTGAGCAACACCTGGTCATGCTCAAGGCTTATTCCCAGCTTTGCCCTGAGGGATCAGTGCTGGTCAAGCTCAAGGAATAGGAGGAAAAGCCAGGAACTGAACTCTGATTGGCCAAGTGCAAGGGAAACATCCTAACTATTCCAGACACTCAAGATTATTTTCTCAAAAGTACTTAGGCACCTGAATTTTGGAATTATACCTGAAATACAGTACAACTAGAAAAGGAGAGAGGGAGAGAAGGAACCTGGAAGAGAGAGAAAGGGTGAAGGGGAGGGACAGAGAAAGGAAGGCTGGACAGAGAAAATGAGCAAGGAAAAGGAAGGATGAAGGATGGAAGGAAGGAACGAAAAGAGGAGGGAAGCAAACAAAAATACAGATTTTAGAATAAGGTAAGTAGTGAAAATCAAGACAATAATTCAAAGTGGAGATTTTCCGAGTGATAGTAGCCAAGTTAAAAGTTTTAAAAAATAAGCAAAATTATGTGACAAGTTAGTCTAACAAGCAAACCAAAAAAACCAGATAAAATAATGTCATATTGTTTTCTTCCATTTCTGTAAATGGTCAGATTTTTATTCCTTCTGACATGCATACAAATCAATGAGGCGCAGAACCTGTTTCAATAAACTAGTGCTGGGTAGACAGAAAAATGCAGGCAGGGGAAGCAATGAACCCCTGACCCCAGCTCCAGGAGCTCCTGCAGCTCTTCCTGCCTGGGAATAAGTAGCACAGGGCTGTGTTAGAAAAGGCCCAGGAAGGCACACTTTAGTGCTTCTCAAGTACAGAACCCTACAGACACATCCACCAGAGGACCCATCCACCCAACTCTCTGCATATCCCTGAAAGGATGATAAAGGAGGGCTTGGAAGGGAGCATTGTGCTCCAGCCCCGAGAGACGGGTGGCAGATGAATGAATAAACAAAATGCGGCACATCCATACAATGGACTGTTACTCAACTCTGAAAAGGAACGGCACATTCTGGCATGTACTACGCGAAAGGGCCTTGAGAATATTAGGCAGCTGGCTAATCTGGCTTTGAAACCCAGGCACCGCATGTGGTTCCCTGAATTCTACCAGGAGTTATTCCTGAGCACAGAGCCAGGGTATGCCCTGACAGTGCCACATGTAAGGTGGCCACCAAACCAAGCATTAACTGTCTCCATGTGCCTAGTTGCCCCACTGTTTGCAGATGGTAAATCAAAAAGATGGTTTGAAAATCTCAGTGATCTTCAGTGTCTGCTCCACATTTTCTATGGTACTGGGACAAGGCTAATATTTATGACTTTCAACCTGATTATCAAAGAACTTTATTTTAGAACCCTGTAGACTGCGCACTCCCCATGCTGCTTTACTATGAATTACGCTGTCCAAGCATTCATTAGATTGTCACACAAGAAAGGACAATGATAGGAAAAGGTCCCACCGTCACTGCCCCTGTGTGAATAGCCTCTTCCCAACCCGTGGCTGGTCTCTGTTTTCATCACGGGGATATGCTCAACAAAGAAAAAACCTCTGTATTCTTCACTTTGCATACATTCTACAAACTACTGTGAAATATACAGTGCTGCCAGGAGATATCAGGCAGAGAATATTATTTGCACAATCAAATTAAGCAATTTTATGACATTCTCTAGCAAAAATCAGACAAAAAGGGACCTATTTGGAGTAAGAACCGTTAAGAGAAACACACATTAGCTCTAGATATAAGTACCCTATGTTAAAAAAAAAAACGAAATTCTTCAAAAGAAAGTTATTTGAAATCCAACCAGAAAAATTCTGAAGACAATAAATACCTTCAGTAGTTGAGTGTATTTCTTCTGATTTTGGAACAAAAATTCTGATCACACTGGTGTTGATATAAATTAGAGGTAAACTGCGTGAAGTCAGTGTATGAGTTCTCATGGGTTGACCAGAAGATTTCCTTTTTTCTTTTTGGGTCCTTGGCAGTTTTGCTTGAAATATACTTGCAATGGCATTAAGCAAAGGAAAACAAAGGACAATGTCAAAGGCTTGTGCTGAAAGAAGAATTTCATGAAGAAAATGAGGGGAACCATCTGTTAAACCTTCAGATAACTTATGAAAACTTCTTCGCTCATTTCTTGAGGTTAACTTGTGGCGGACATTTTTTGTTACAGCTTTTGTATAAGTCAAAGAGAGAAATCCATGCTGCTGATGAGAACCATCTAGAAGTTTTGCAGTTGTCTGTTCCAGAAAAAGGAAACCACAATACACATTTCATTAACAAAAAGGAAGGAGAAATTAGAAGTACTTTAAAGCAGAACATGATCTCAGTATTACACAATGTTATTATGTGCACACCTCTTAAGCGTATTTCAAACCAATTCTAGAGAGGAAGCAAAAACCAAGACTGCTCAAATGGCTCAAGTGATAAAACCCTGCATCCCGGTTCGAGATCTTGAGAGCATTAAGCTCTTTGTGCCTTTTTCCACCACTTTTGCATTTTCTGTTAACGTCCAGCCTTTGGGAGCAATCATCTCCCGTTTTATCTTCCCACTCTCTTATTTTGGGGGGTCTTGCCAGTGATGCCCCTGGCAGGGGCCTCTCCCACCGCTTGCCTATGGCTCCAGGCTAGGGCCCAGCAATGCATTGCTGCTGTTTCACTGGTACTGCACCAGGTGCTCAGAAGACCATGCCATGCTGGGTGTTGAACTTAGCACCCCACACACAGGAGGAATGAACTCCACGCCTCTAAGTTCTCTCCCAGGTGCTATCTTCCCACCTCTGGCCTTTTTCTTTGGGATTACCGATATACTGCCATTATATGGGTCACAGAGGGGTCGTTCATACAGAAAATGGAAATAGTCATATTTGTTATCAACAACCTGAATAGACAAGATATTTGTCAGCACTTCACCTAACATTTATAAAAACTATTTTTTTATTATATTGGCTAAGTTAAATTAAAAGACCCATTAAAAAAGCCTCACTGACACTATGCTTTAATAACTATTTCATGCTTGTTTACTGGAAATGGCAACATGATACAAAAATAAAACATTTGTCTTCCAGAATTTGTCTATGTTCAGTGGGTTATCACATTGTTTATAAATTCTATCCAGTCTTCTACAAGTGATATTACTTTGGCTTAACACCATACTAATACACACACAATATTTGATTAAGAACGAAAATCATGTCATTGTAACTTCAATATTCTGACAAGCTCATGTAATTAAACACTCATATTCAAACTATACACTATAAACAAATCACAGTGAAACTTCTAAGAGCAAGTTAAAATGTATTTTTTGCTTTTCTATGAGTATGTGAAAAGTGTAGTTCTGTAAAAGTTCTTACTGAGCTTTGACAATGCAATTATTAGATGTAAAATCCTATTTTATGAATTTTTTAAGTTATTATACTTCATATCTCTTCTCTCTTCCTGAGGCCTGATAGAAATAATTTTTTTTCTTTTCCTTTGTTTTCTTCTTTTCAACAGAAAAAACTTTTAAGAACGATCTGTGTTTGTTTTTTTTTGGGCCACACTCAGCAGTGCTTACCGGCTACTCCTGGCTTAGTGCTCAAGGGACTGCAGAGCGCCAGGGATCAAACCCAGGGTTCCCATGTCAAAACCTGTGCGCCAGCCCTTTGAGCCATAGTTATTTCCAGAGGAAGACTAAACTGGGGAAGAAAGATGCAGAAATGGAATCTAATAAGGAGGAAACGCGGGAGCTGAGGGGCAGTGAGACAGTGGCCGGCCGGCTGGCTGGGGACCTGCTTCAGTTTCCGTTGCTTCTCCCCAGGCCGTGTTGCCAATCACTCAACGTACAATGTGAGAATAAGAGATCTGCAATCCGAGAACCCTTTCCTTTGTCCCTTTTTTTGGGCTTATTCCGGGCTCTGTGCTCAGGGATCACTCGTGATGGAGCTCAGGGATCAAATGCAGAGCCGGGGGAGACCCTGCCTAACTGTCTCTGGTCTTACAGGGCTTTGCACTTAATCTGGGTTTTTCAAAGGAAAGGGAGGTAAAATTTATCTCTGCTCTGCAGCACTGTAGCACTGTCCTCCCATTCAACGATTTGCTCGAGCGGACCCAGTAACGTCTCCATTGTGAGACTTCTTGTTACTGTGTCTGGCATATCGAATACGTCACGGGGAGCTTGCCAGGCTTTGCTGAGCGAGCTACCGAGAGTACCTGGCCTGCACCTTTGCTCCATCTTTAAAAAAGCTAATTGCCCAGCCACGAAAAAACTTAGGAAGCTGGAGTTAAACAGAAGTGCAATATAATCACGTTTCATAGAAATGTCTTGCCCTCAAGCATGTTTTATTGTCCTCGCTTTCTCACTGCTTCTCTTTCCCTTTACTGAGATATTCGATAGTCCAAACAAACACCCAAAGAATACAGTAAAGCTAGGAAAATATAACCAGACTCATTGCCCAGTCTGGAAAGTGAGAGCTAGAGGTGCAAGGTGCATTTACAGCCCCAGTGGAGGGGACCACAGCATTGCACTGAACTGGTGTTGAAATAGAATAAATTAAAAATCTGAACAACCCAACCTAGATACTCATTCATAACAAACACTTAATCCTGAAAACAGTATAAAAGGTATTTCAATACCTAAATGTTTTGGCTCAAGAAATATTTTTAAACTCTGACTATGAATATCACTTATCATAAGTTAATAACACTTTACATTGTAGAAAATGAAAATTCAGAGAGCAGTGACACATTTTAATTGCTAATGAAAATTAGAAAAGTTGATAAAAATTGACATAGCATTAAACATAGAATTTTTTATAAATACATGTTAAAATTATCAATATTGCTTCTCATAGACAGCAACATTCCAAGAGGACAAAATAAATCTTAATAGGCCTTCCAGTGTCATTAAAGTCACATTTAGAGAAATCAAATCAGAAACAACCATTTGTCCACACACATACAACATTGAACATTAAGTGGAGGAACATAATTACTTAAAAATTTTGACTTTTATAATGTTGAAGAAATATCTTAAATCCTTCTTGTGTTACAAAACAGATAGAGTACATAGTTTACATGTGCTGAGAAAATACTTGTATTTTCAGTGATTTAACAAAATCTTAAGGGAATCGTAATTATCATGGTGATAATCTGTTCCTAATATTGAAAAATAATTATAATAAGCTAAATAGCTTAGTTAGGTATAGTGTACCAATAGAAAATTGGAAGACCTCAATGTTGAAAAGTCAGTGGTACACAGTGTGGCATTCATCTATCCGGTCAATGTCATACAGTCTTGTCCAGATAGAAAAGGGGGCCAAAGGAGCCACCGTGAATTTGTTGTGAGAATGGCAGAATAATAGAAAAAGCAATCAAGTACTATGTAAAAGCACTAACAGAAGTAGCAGGTTCAACTCTTGATTATTCAACATGTGCACAATTCGAAAGAAAACTGAACACAATGTCTTTGGATTTTCTTATGTGACGCTAAAAATAGTTTGTGATTACAAGACCAGTGGCAAACAGCTTATGCAAGTAACTCAGAAACGTATCATAGTGGAAGGCCAGTCTATAATTTAAAAATATGATAGTGCTCATTTGCAAAGTAGGTGAAACAGAGGAAGACGAAAATCAAGAGTTGACTTTATAGATAAATTCCTTCTCTGGGTTCCTGATAATGGGTGTTCTGTAGCAAAATTTAAAAATGATTTCTTACAGAAGGAAAGAAGCCAGAGTAATTACTGAAAGGGTCCTGCTTGCTGCTGGGTCGAACCAACAAGGTGCGTCTGTTCAGCTTGTCAGTACAGGAAAGGAAGACACCTCCATATTGCCCCAGAGACCAACACTCTTCCCCAAGGCTTGAGGTGATGCACAGGAGCAAAGGCGGTGAAAAGACAAAAAGCAATAAGAGCCATAAGCAAAAAAATCTTAATGATTTTAACTTTGCTCAAGTTTGCATAGGCTTGAGCCACTGCTAGGAGTGGCCTCTATACCATCTTCCGCAAAAGCATCGTGAATGGAAATAAAAAATAACTAACTGCCTTTAGTGTAAAATTCTGACTTTTAGAACACAAACTTACTCATCCATTGAAAAAGTTTCCACAGTCATTATGATAATGCATTAATGAGAAAGTACAGTAATAAAAGTAACCCTACCTTTGTCGTTTTGAAAAAGTGAATTGCCCAAACAGGAAAAGGGTTACAAAATATAAGCAGCTTAAAATAAGTTTTATTTTTAATGTAACTTTGAAACAACAGGTCAAAAAAGAATTTGCACTGAGGTCCAATTCTTGTAACCATTTAGCCCTATTTCATGAAAGAACAAAGATAAACAATTTGTATTTTATTTTTAAAAATCATAATTACTAAATGAGTCTCACCACAGGTTTTTCTTTGCACTGTAGAAATACTCCTTCAAAATGTCCTGACTGCCAACCTTCCCCTGGCCTGGAAAACATAAGTTCACCTTATCTGTTCTCTTCAATTTTTTCCAAGTTAAAAATTCGAGCATATGTAACTATTTCCAACATTTATGATATAAGCAACACTACACTGAACTAAAACGTGGATCTCATCAGTAGAACAATTCATGTTAGCACCATAACCTGGTATTTCTTACATACAAACATTTAACTTACTAATAAACTTCATATATATTTGGCTGCTTTTTTTTTCTGTCTCACCCTTGAGACTGTAACGTCCAGGAGGGTATGATTTGTGTCTAGATTTTCTTAAACACTATTATCTGAAATGTTTATCATAATGCTTAGCACTTGACACAGACTTAATAGTATAATTAAATGAATGAATAAACATATCATATAAATACTAATTCAAAATAATAGCAAACAATACAGAACAAAGATTATAATATTTATATTATATTACCAACACATTTTCAGCTATAATACTTATATATGATTTGCCAAGATTATTTTGACAGATATACCATTCAAAAGGAATTAAGCAGCTAAACTTTCTATCAACAAAATTTAATTACTCACTATAATTGGCAATTATATGTTTCAGATTATGCCATTATAATCTTATATTCAGCAAAATATATTTTATAAATATGCAGCAAATATATTTTACAAATAAAATATTTTTTTCAGTAAAATACTTTGAATTGCATAAGATTTTGGCTAAAATGGTATCAATTACATGGATTATCTTTCAATTAAAAGAGTACTCCAATGAGAGTCAATAAGCAAAGGGGAGGAACTATACTTTCATTTGGGAGAAAACGACAAAATGCAAAAGAGACAGTTTAAATTACAAAAGAGATCGGGAAAACACTGAAAATCTTTTGACTTATATTATTATTATAAATAATACACCATTTTGCCTGATTATTTTTATAAATAATCCACTACATAACACTACTTTGATAGAATTATATCTGAGGGGCTCCAGAGTTGGGCCTCAGGCATCGGTGTGACCATCCAGCAGGACCCAGACACCTGGGCAAACGGTCCAAAGCCAGGCTCTGGGCCTGGGTCTCAGTTAGTCCTGTGGGGCTGGGAGCCCCCAGGGTGACACAGAATAGTGCTCCGGGCCTCCAGGGCTATACTCAGAAGTGCTCAGGGCCACAGGGGTTAATGTGCTGGCGTGGAACGAGGATCAGACACAAGAGCCTCTGACCTGTACTATCTCTTGGGCCCTTGATAGAGATATTTCAGGGAAGGAGAAATGCGGCTGCAGGAATATCTACTGCAGGTGAGTCACCTGTGAGACATCAGTCTCCCAAGTGCAGAACACCTGGCAGGTGGTTTCCTTTCCCTCTAATGATCCTACTGGCTTGGGAGTACCCAGGAAACATCAAAGCCATCAGTGCTGTCCGGGTCTGAGCAAATGCACATCTGCACCAAACTGCACTGAATGACTAGCAGAAGCAGTTTATTTCATTAGCATGATAATGTGGGTATTTATGAATGGGCCTGTCATCTCATCAAATATTATTATATTCTATATATTAAGAATGACATACAAATTAAGCAAGTTATCTGTCAAGAACACTCTATGGGAATGCTGCTTTTAAAAAAATAACTAATTGAGTTAAAATAAAAAAAAGAAATCCTCATATGTCTTTCTTCCCCAAAATACAGATTTTCCCCTTACTTATTACTTACCTGCTTCGATAGTGATCGATATTGAAACTTTCAATTTTGCATTTTACTTTGGTATATACATCCTGGACATCTATGGAAGCACTGAGATCCTCAAGTTCACTGACCATGCAAAGCTCTACAATAAGAAGCGAACAGAAATATTCACAAAAGCTTCACAGTTAAGGTAGATACTAACTTTAAAAACAGAAATTAAAGATCTTTGCAATTTTTCAGTATCAATCAGACTAGTAAAGAAATTATGCTGGCTTTTAGAAGTAAGTTTTATTTCAAAAAGCAAAATTTAGGTATTTTATACAGCAAGTTACTATTAACTGAAATATGCTGCTAAGATATGATAGCATAAAACTAGGTTCTGTTATTTTTGCTAAGAATAGTATTCGTATTCAATACTTATCTTGCGGTAGAAAAAAATCCCCATAATTCCATACCTGTGCCTTGATTTTCAGGATCTGGAGCAAAGAGCTTTATAGTGATTTTGGGGAGCACCCACTGCATCCATAGACTCACACGTCCACTGGATCCCCCAATATTACTCGTAGTTTGTTCCAAGGTGACAGAATCTGAGAATGGGGAATCATCACCAGCTTGTACAGAATCTCCCTGGAATGAGAAACAGCACTATTTGGTAACTGAAAGAAGGGGAAAAAAAACCACTAAAAATATTTAATTCAAAATCTGTATATTTATAACATTTCCATCTTCTATAATGCACATACTGATACGCTCATCTTATTGCTGCTAATTTTCATACACAGTGCTCATCATATAAACACACTGATCAGACGGTTTGATTGCTACGAGGAACATGCCCATCATCCTGGTACAGCACCAGAATAACGCAGGGCACCCCAGTGAATACTTCCTTGGAGCAGGGTTTGCAAACTAGTGCCAAAGGACCAATGTGAAAATAAAATGTATTCACTCACAGCCACTTCCATTCATATCTCCATTGTTGGTGGCTGCCAAACAGAAGAACTCAATAGTTTCTTTAGAAATACTCTGAGTTCAAAAGCCAAATATATAGGTGAATTCTCTCAAGCAAAGGCTTGTCTAAGACAGTAAATATAACAAAAAAAAAAAAAAAAACCACACAGCATATATAGTCTAAGAAGGAGCAAAAACATCTGTCAAAATTCCCACGTTCTAAAATAAGGAAACATTAAAAAGTCACTGGACTGGACACTGTCACTTCATGTGTTGGTAGCTCGGTTGCTTCTCGCCCCTTCCCCTTTGCTGCAGTGGCCAGAGCCATGAATGGGGCTGACACTAACTGCTCTGCAGTGCTCTGTGGGGCCATACCGTAGACAGGGAGCCACCCGTGTGGGGTGTGGACTGTGACACCAGGGAACACAGAGTGCCGCTGGGGTCACACCCCGCACGTGGATGGTGTCAGGGCCGAACCGGGACTGGTTGCTCGCAAATCTGCTCTCAGACAACTGAGCCACGCGCCCCAGTGTCCAGTGGGAAGTCTCTGAACTAGAGGTACAGGGCATTAGTCTACTATCAACTGCACTGAATCCCGGGGAAGTATAAACCCTCACACATCTGGTACTTCACAAACCAGTCACGGCTAAAATAGCTGTTAAGTTCATTAGAGTCTTTAAAAAAAAAACACTCGTCATTACAGCAATTATTTCTTGAAAGTTGTTACACATCAGTAAGAACATGAATATAAAGTGATCATATAATAAATAATTCACAAGCACCAGCTATAATGGTAACAAACTGAATCAGAACTGAATCACTGCATAGGAACCTTTAAACTTGCATTCATCTTTCTATGTTTAGGACATTTGTCATGTCTCCTATCCCTCCTGCTATCCTATCACTGCTGCTTGAATGTCCCAAACAACAACAACAACAAACAAAACAAAACAAAAAAACTAAGTAGTCAGGATCAATAACCCACAGGCAGGAAAGATCATCTTTTAGAACAGCACAGAAGATACATTATTATCAGTGTTACTCCACGGAAAAAAATCCTCGAGAAGGCACCTAAAAGCAAGGAAGGTAATAATAAAAGTGCAACAGAATGGAATTAAAAACGCTGCTTTCGTCACCTCCCACTTGGCATCAAGACAAAGGTATATTCAGCCCCAGTAAGAAGTTTTAAATATTTTTCGTTTGTTGCCGGTTGGCTGGTTGTTCTGTTTCGGGGCAACACCCCACAGAGCTCAGATGCAGAACCCGGAGCGCCTGTTTGCAAAGCCTGGGCGCCAGCCTTCTGAGTCATCTGCCAGACTTCAAAGTTTTTATCTTTACCTCATTTTTACAACACTGGTCAAGGAGAAGACAATTCAAGTTCCTTGAACTCCCAGAAGGAGACCAAGCAGGGCCGATTTTGACAAAACAACAGGACGTGTTTATCACTGGAATACGGAGGCACCAATCACAGTGAAGCAAAGTGTCCTTCCTGTGATTTATTGTGACAGGAAATGATAGACTTGAACCTGCAGATAATCTAGTCATTTCTTGTTCCAATTACACCAAGCAATTGACTTGCTGGTTTTGTGATGTTTTCATCTAAACGCTTCTCCAAAATAAATGGTCCTAATTCTGCAACTAAAATTCCCAGAATTTGAGAAACCATAAAAAAATATGACTTTTTGGTTAGCTGTCTAAAGTAACACATTTAATGAAAAGCACAAACTAACCCCCCAAAGGATGCATTTTACCAAGTCAAACACAATAAAAGACAACATAATGTAATCAGTATGCCTTTCCATATGAAATAGGTTCTTATAGGAGAAGCATTCATGAATAATATTTTCCTTCCCTCAATGGGAAGAACATAATAATAACAAGAATGGAAATTACAGAGGAAAAAGCATCTCAAATCAATGAGACTCTGGTTTTTCACACTACTAATTCTAGTCAGTGGGATGGCAAAGAAAACTATGGCTTCAAATTACTGAGTAAACACTCCTGAGAAAAAGTTGTGCCTTCCTTCCTAGTGCAGTTTCAACTTTCATTTTGGATTTACAGCATTTGGTGTGGTATTGTTAAATATGTTCGTGCATAATTTTCTGCTCTATTTCCAAATCTATAGCAAAATGAGAGCCAGAATTGGAGATGATGAAAATGGAGATTTTCCCACACCTCCTTAAGCCAAATTCTAAAATACACAGTTCAATTCTTTCACCAATTTGTTGCAAATTGACCAAAATGCTGAGTTTATTTTCTTAGCTCAGTTTATCTTTGTTCTTCAGGAAGAGCGAACTCTTCAGTTCTTCATCCTTGGCCTGCTTCAGAGCTCAGGGATAGTCATAAATTTTGGCCAGGTTACTACTCTCCTTTTCAAAAATAACTCCAGTGTTCTTGTTCAATAATAAAACTTCCCAAAGGGCTAAACACTTGCACCGCTTTTAGTACTTCAGTTAACAGTAACAAGTGGTCTGCTGTGGTATCTCCTACCTTTGCTGTTTCAGAGCAGGGGTGGAAAGCCTAATTAATTGCTTCATAACTCATATTAGCTTATGCCTCTCAATCACATTTCCCCTCTGCCCACCACTCAGAAGGAGACTCTGGAAACTAAAGTTATAGTCACTGAAAAATATGGTGTCCCCTACCATGTCACTGTGAAAGGAATTACTCAGACATAACTGAAAGTATAAATTATTTAAGAATTGGAGTTTAAAGTAAAAATCATCCAAGGATCATATAAACAATCAATTCTACTTAATACAAACAAGGGCTGGAGTGATAGCGCAGCGGGTAGGGCGTTTGCCGTGCATGTGGCCAACCCGGGTTCAATTCCTCTGTCCCTCTTGGAGAGCCTGGCAAGCTCCCGAAAGTATCCCACCCACAAGGTAGATCCTGGCAAGCTTCCCGTGATGTATTCATTCGATATGCCAAAAAACGTAACACCAAGTCGCACAATGGAGACTATTGGTGCCCATTCAAGCAAATCAATGTACAATGGGAGGACGGTGCTACAGTGCTAATACCAACAACTGGCAGAATATTTTTAATTCATTTATAGAAAATTCTTTGAGTTGAAGCGACTTATATTATTTACTTATTTAATTTTGCGGCTTGGGTCACACCCAGCAATGCTCATGGGTTACTCCTAGCTCTGCACTCAAGAATTACTCCTGGCGGTGCTTGAGGACTATATGGGATGCTGGGAATCAAACTGGGTTGGCCGATTACAAGGCAAACGCCCTACCCAGTGTGCTATCACTCTAGCCCCTGAAACAATTTAAAAATAATAGGTTTTCCCAATTCAGCAAGAAAAATGACTTTGAAAAGTCATCTTTAATGAACTTTTTCAATGCGAGTCTAAAGGGAAATTTTTAAAAATAAAAACTGCTATTTTTCAATGGTCTCCAGACAAACTCAAGAAGTACAAGGTAATCTCAGAGTGATAGTTTGTATTTTAAAACTATTTGAAATTTTAAAATCAAGGGCAGAGTAATAGTACAGTTGGCTATCTTGGCATAAAGGCCTTTGCCCTGCACACAACCAACTTGGGTTCTCTCTCTGGTACTGCACACGGTTCCCCTGAGTACAGCCAAGAGCGATCCCTGAGCACTGCCGGCCATGGACCAACCCCACCACATGCCTCAAATTTATTTATGTTTTTTTTCCTTTTTTTGGGGGGGGGGTCACACCTGGTGATGCACAGGGGTTACTCCTGGTTCTGCACTCAGGAATCACCCCTGGCGGTGCTCAGGGGACCATATGGAATGCTGGGAATCGAACCCGAGTCGATTGCAAAGGCTCTACCCGCTATGCTATTGCTCCAGCACCCACATGCCCCAAATTTAAAACCCAAACTCAATAGACCAATACTTGAGACTAAAGACATTTTCTGATGGTTATCCTGAAATTTACAAAAGAAATTATAAAAACACTTTGAAGTATTCAGTTTGAATGGAACATTTTGCTGATTAGTGCATAAAAGCTAACATTCATTTTCCTAACGTGCTCTGACATGGGGGGAGGCACAAGAGAGCACTGCCCCTTTTAGACAAAGGGTCAATTTCGTGGGAGGACCTGAGTGTAGAATGAACGTGACCTCAATTCCTTTATGAGTTATTTTTGATGGAGGTGATGTGATTGACGGTGCTGCTAATGATAATCTTGCCTGTTCATGCTTCCGACACCCCCCCACCCCCCGACAGCTGAGCGTCCACTTCCCTCCACCTCTGTCCCAATGGTTCCCCTGCTCAGTTTCAGTTCTGTGGATCAACTCTCACTCCGGTCATTTTGGCCGTTTGTTGCTCCTTTACTGTGTATCCTTATATCCCACTTTTCTTTGTAAAGAGAGATCATTCTTTATCTATCCCTCACCTTCCAACTGAGCTGAACCAGCATGCTATCCTCTACTTCCATCCATGAAGGTGAAAATTGCGGAATTAAGTATTTTCTTTCCCCATTGTATAACTGTACCATAACTTGTTGATCTGCGTATCTGTGGCTGGACATTTCAATTGTTTCCATATCTTGGCTGTTCCCCTAAGCGCGTAATGAACAGAGGCGTGCACATGCCTTATAAATTAATGTTTATGTGTTTGGGGAGTAGATACAAAGAAGTCGTATTGCTGTTCTAATCTAACTTTCTCAGGAAATCTCCATATTGCTTTCCCTATTGGCTG